TGTTTCTACCATTGTAGGTTACAGATCTGTTCTCCTGAGCTGCTTTCAGGATTTTCTCTTTGTCCTTCCCCACATTAGGGAAGTTCTCTGTTATAATTTGCTCCAATATACCTTCTGCTCTCTCTCTCTCTCTTCTTCTGGGATCCCAATTAATCTAATGTTGTTCCATCTTATGGTATCGCTTATCTCTCGAATTCTGCCCTCATGATCCAGTAGTTGTTTTCCATCATTTGGTGTTCTATATCACTAATTCTGTCTTCTGCCTCATTTATCCTAGCAGTTAGAGTCTCCATTTTTTATTGCACCTCATTAATAGCCTTTTGATTTCAACTTGTTTAGATTTGAGTTCTTTTATTTCTCCAGCAAGGGTTTCTCTAATATCTTCCATGTTTTTTTCAAGCCCAGCTAGTATCTTTAAAATCATCAATCCGAACTCTAGTTCTGACATCTTACTAATGTCTGTATTAATTAGCTCCCTGGCAGTCTGTACTGCCTCTTGTTCTTTTTTTTGAGGTGATTTTTTTCCCTCTTGTCATTTTGCCCAGCGGAGAATAGATGAATGAGAGAACAAAATGCTAACAGGGTAACAACCTCCCCAGAAAATATACACTAAACAAATCAGAAGAGACCTGTAACCAGGGGAAAAGAATGGGAAAGAAAGAGAAAAGAAAAAAGAAAGAAAAAGAAAAAGATAAAAACAAACAAAAACAAAACAAACCAAAAAAACAGAATATGATCAAATATGATCAGGCTAGTTCATAGATCAGTGCCACGCACTGGAATTTGGGCATATTTTGGTCTGTGAGAAGAATGTGCCTTCCAAAATTTTAAAGAAAGAATAACTTACATATGTACAAAAATAAGGGTTAATATGATGAAGGTATGGAATATGACTCTAAAGATGAAAATTATAAAAGATCTCATAAAAGGAAGAGATAAGATAAGAAGTTGGTTGAAAAAAGAAAAAAGAGGATTTAAAAAAAAAGAGAGAATGCGATCAGGCAGGAGACTAGAACAAAGGCATACACTAGAGATTTAGGGTATATTTTGGTCTGTTAGAAGAAACTGTATCCCAAAATTTTAAAGAGAGAACAACTTACATATACTTAACAAAAATAAGGTTAACTACTATGAAGGGATAGAATATGATTCAAAAAATGAAAAATAAAAAAAATTTTTAAAAAAGATATTGATAAGATGGTTGAAAAAGGGAAAAATAATTCAAAAAAAAGGAAAAGAAAAAGAAAAAAGAAGTTAAAAAAATTAGCTTTGAAGGACTAAGGAATCATGTGAAAAAGCCCATGAATTCTATGTGCAGTATTCCCCTAGTCCTGGAGTTCTGCCGTTCTCATTGATTGGTAAACTTGATGTTGGCTGACTGTTCTTGCTGATCTTCTGGGGGAGGAGGCTGTTGCAGTGGTTCCCAAATGTCTTTGCCAGAGGCGGAATTGTCCCGCCTTTGCTGGGGGCCGGGCTAAGTAATCTGCTCGGATTTGCTCTCCTGAGCTTTTGTTCCCTGCAAGCTTTCTGTACAGCTTTGGAGAACGAGAGTGAAAATGGCAGCCTCCCAATCTCTGATCCAGAGG